AATGATATCAAAAAGCCTTGATTTTAATTTGTCTTGAGGAATTGTTGTGTATTAAGTTGAAAAGTCGTAAGTTTTTTAACTGTTGATTTTTGCAGAGTCCAACTAAGTTTAAACGATTATGAATTGGGTTGCTATTGCTACTGAATGCAATTCATTTGACTTGTAAATAATATTGAAGTGCCAATTTTTAATTAAGGAATGGACAACATTTTTACATATGATGTTTTGATATAAAATAGCTGGGGATGTTTGCATTATAAACTATGTTATGTTATACTTACAACATAGGTAATTATATACATTCTTTATGTTTGAATTTTGGACAGTTTTATTAGGACACAATTTTAAAGAGGTCAAAATTTGAAAGTAACTTCAAACAGAAAAACTTGTCTTCATACACTATGATTTGCTTCATAGGCAAGATGAATAATACAAAAATTACAAAATACATGTAGATATATTTTCAGCTAACAACGTAAGTTACAACTTTAGAAAACTATTTTATACAAAATGATATTTTTTATAGGAGGGGGAATGAGTGGTTACCAAATAAAAAGATATACCGTATAACGGGTATTTTCTGCGGTTGGAAATTTTTGCGATTTAACCCCTAAAAGGTAGCAAATTAATTTCTGCGTTTTCAATTTCTGCGGTTGCACTTTACCGCAAAAAATTATTTACGGGGTGTATAGGATCACCAAACTCTAACTCTAAGATTTACTAGAACACTGCCATGATTACGTTTTGTAAATTCATTCAGGCACATGAATGAAACGTGCATGACAAGAAGGTATTGCGTTATTAAACTACTAGCTTTTAGTCACTCTTTGTAAAATTATGCTTAGTCCCGAAATTAATTATTGTAGTAAAAGAACTTGTCCACTCAAACAATAATTTTAAAAATCTTTATTCCAGCACCGCAGACGTTCATTAATATGATCTATCAAAATAATTTTCATAAGTATATATATAGACAATGATAATTAATACCTCCAAGCCATAATCTAAAATACACTTAAAATTAATTGCCATCAACATTAATTCGAGAGTTTCATTTTAAGCTAAAACAAACAGTTGCATAATCACCCACCCCGTAATCAGGTAATCGCACGTGTCACACGCATTGAGGTGTAACTAATTTTGTCAGTAGTCTGATTTGAATGAAATTCACGAGACAATCAAACCATGTTGTATACACAAGCGGTAATATTAATCACGGTCTCAAGACAAAACACAAAATTGAAAAGTGGAAAATAAGAAAAAAAAAGCTTTCATATTTTGTTTGCAGCTATCAGAGTTTCGATGTCACCCGAATTTTCTCGCGAACAAAGACAGGTCCACGCGTGAGTCTGCAGACGCACCACTTATCACTTGAAGGTATATTTTAAATATTTTGCGATTGTAATTTTTGCGGATTTGTCCTATCCGCAAACTTCCGCAAAAATTGGACAACCGCAGAAAATACCCGTTATACGGTATCTAAAATGTGAGAGCTCCATTTATTTGTATTACATGTTAATATAAGTTTTATTTTTCTATATATATATATACATGTATTTATTGAACACCACCTACCCAAAATACAATACACTTAAGACACATGTATTTGTGTAACCGGGTTCTTGCATAAATTACAGATTTTGTACTAAACAAATATTGTATTGCCCTAACAAAAAGTACTAAACGTATAGTTAAATATCGTTAAATATAGTAAATACTAGAGATAACTTGTAAATCAAAGTTTTCACTATAGTAAATCAAAGTATATCTTTACAATGGATTTAAGATATATTGAAACGCTTTTTTTTCATAAAGTTACATTGTTGTTGTGTAATTTAAGATATACATAGTCTTAAGCTCTATCTCCAATAAAGTTATCGAGTAAAGTTTCCTAGTAAATCAAAGTATTAACTATAGTTCAATAAAGTAAACTATGTTAAATAGTAATTTTTAGTTAGAGATATACAATCTTTGTTCCTTAATAGTGTTGATAGAGGATTAAAACTAATTTAATGAATTGTCTGCCTGATATGTATTTTAAATATGTAATATATATGTCAGCCTTATATTGTTATCATATAATGTCATCCTAAAGTCTACCACATACTTTTGGAAAATTAGGCAGACCTGCAAAAATATATATCTTTTACTATGCAATATATCTCTTCAGCAGTCTAACAATAAATACATAATTGTGTTTTCTTTGCTTGATGAGCTGGACTTTGAATAATATTGAGAAATAAATTTATTTATATATGTCTGCCTAAGTATGGTTTTATGGTCAAGTCCTCCTAGTGCTGAAAGCAGGTATATATATATATATATATATATATATATATATATATATATATATATATATATATATATATATATATATATATATATATATATATATATATATATATATATATAAATTGGTGATAATTCATATAAATAGCAGTAGCCTATATATATATATATATATATATATATATATATATATATATATATATATATATATATATATATATATATATATATATATATATATATATATATATATATATATATATATATATATATATATATATATATATATATATATATATATATATATATATATATATATATATATATATATATATATATATATATATATATATATATATATATATATATATATATATATATATATATATATATATATATATATATATATATATATATATATATATATATATATATATATATATATATATATATATATATATATATATATATATATATATATATATATATATATATATATATATATATATATATATATATATATAAATTGGTGATAATTCATATAAATAGCAGTAGCCTTTAGTTACCCCTATAGTATATAAACTTCAAACAGATTAAAACAGACAAGGAAGAGTTGTGACACACTCTTCAACAACTTTACATAGGAGTATATCAGGATAAAGTAATTAAAATAAAGGAAACTCTTTCTGTTTTAGGGGTAAGATCGAGATAAAATACAATAAAATTAATCCGGTATCGATTTGCTTACATCAGCCTCTTTTAGAATAGTACCTTTTCTTAAAAAGATCATTTTTAGTAAGAATTTCTTTTGTACTTTTGACTTTAATTTTATTTGTTTACGCCCGGATAATCTCAAAAACATTTAAAGCATATATTTTTTTTCTTATTCATATACATCATCTTCTCAGATAAAAAAATTCGTATTTTAAATTCGTAAACACTTTTCTTAATTTCGTGCAATTAAAAAAAGTCAACTCTTCGGTTTTCCTCCCTCCCGTAGTACATGTAATATTAGCCACGATTTGGTGAATGATAATTCTACATCATATTTCTATTGTCTCAGCATTTAATACAATACTAATTTGAAAGAAAACCAATGTAACACAAGACATATAATCATGATAATAATCTAAAGACATTTTTCTTTCTAAATGCACGATGATGACGTCCTCAAAATAATAGTATGCGCAAAACAATTAAAATGTTTCCAAATTCTAACTTAAAGATGTTTTCAGTATCTAGCCATTTCTGACAATTTGTAATGTAAATATGTCATTGGCGTTATAAACCACGTTTATCTTAATTGTCATTTAAACACCCCAACTAATGTGTTCGGAACATTTTATTTTTCGGTGTTTTGCAAATTGTAAAACCCGATGAGTTCAGAGTAGCTCTGGCAGTGGCTCTGGCGAGAGTTAGCGAGACTTCAGCGAGATAGGGTAAATTATTCACGGAAATGTGGCTAGGCAGTGACTAGCACTTGGAAGCATGGTAAACAGAAAAGTTATGATGCGTTTCAGTTTTCACCACCCTAGAATCAGCTGATAATGTCTGTATTAATGTACTTCAATCAATCGATCTCTTTTACATTCATTCAAACTTAAATAAATATTCTCTATAATACAATTTTCTGCAGTCATGAATTAAAATTTCCTTTTGGGCAAATATTTTGCATGGGAACCGGGACTATATTTTTTGGCGTCATATTAGCAAATGAGGCACCAGCATGATTTTAACTGGCCAATCAGCTAAATGAGTATTGCATTATGGGTTACTACGAATACTACAGGAATTTTACGCTTGAAAAAAAGGGAAAACCTTATGGTAACTGAAAAGTTTTTTAAAAATATTATTTTCATGCTCATAATGACAAACAATTCATTAGTTAAATAATTCCTTTGTTGTACTATCGGTGAATATATACAATTACCAACTGAATACTCTGGCCGAACACGTGATCACGAACGTAAACAAAGTTTTGTCCATTTAAATACATAAGAGATGCTGCTCGTTTTCCTTACCCTTGAAGCGCTGGTGTTCTGAACTAGATGCAAACTATATTTTATTAAACTTTTTTTCCATTTAACAACAAATTAAAAACGCCCGTGACATTTTTCATAGTTTCTTATCTTTGTATTTTGTTTGAAAGAACATTTTTTTTTATTTTGCAGTCCATTAACATGATCGTAGATTGACCTGAACTACGTGTTCGAAGTAAAATGTAAGCATGTATTTGGCGTAAACGTTGCTATTCATTCAACGATTGGTCAGTTCCTCGTGGTAAGATCCTCTGTGCGCATTTATAACAATAGCCATATAAGGCAAACAAAGGTTTGTCAGTGTAGATGATTATGCACAATTTTTACCAGCGAATCGGTCACTAGTGAGCTCTAATTTTCGCCGAAAAGTAGAAAAGATATATTGTTATTTTAGCACCCTCTTCTTTAGCCACCCTTTTTCTGTGAAAATCATGAAAGTCTTTCAGAAAGGTCTGGAAACATTTATTACAGGACATGTTTTCAAAAGAAACAGGCTTAAGCAACGTCATGTTTACTGCCAATTTTATTTATAAAACCGGTTCTACCCTATAACCTTTGAATAGATCAATTGAAATTTAAATTGAATTAAAATCGCAATAACATTAGTAGGGGTGTTAAACGGCTCAACTTTTTTCTGTAGCTACACAATTTAAGAAAAATATCCAATCAAGGATGAACTCTCATCCAGAGTTTTCCATAGAGGAACGAGATTATGTAAGAGACAAACAATCAAGTAGATGTCCAAGTTTAAAAGAATTAACCAGTTCACATGACAGAAGTATACCATATGAATATCACCGTCTAAAAGAAAACAAACACAACCATTCAAATCACAAAGAGTATCCAACCTCAAAAGATCATTCTAATAGAAATGCTTGTAGGCTGGAAAGCACGTCGAAGAGATATCGAATGTCAAAAGAAAACCATAAAGATTTAAATAGGTCTGCAGTAAACATGGATGAAAACGCTTACAGAATATACAATAATGATCAAATGTCACGAGATTACAACGAAGATAGAATAAGGCCAACAAGACGTGATTATGAGGACATGCCCAAGGGTTACCGTGGAAACCATTCGTCAAGGGAGGACAACGAAGAAATGGATAGATTTACTAGTCAGAGCTATGAAGGCATGCAAAACAGATATCGTCTGGACCAACCTTCCAGAAAAGACTTCCAATATAGGAATAGATCTACTAGACCAAGATATGAAAACAAGCGAATCAGTTGTCTTCGAGATCAACCGTTACGAAGAGACCACCAAGAAAGAAAAAGGTCTAATAGAAAGAGAAGGGAAGATATGCAAAAGAGTTATCATAGCAACCAAGCACCAAGGAAAGACAAACAAGACAGGGACAGGTCAGCAACACACAGGAATGATCCCAGAAGAGAAAAGGATTACCTGGAAAGGAATGAGGGACGTAACATGTCAAGAACAGATGAGTGGATTGTTACACCTGATAAGAATACTAGTAGTTTACAGGAAAACGATGACCTCGCTGCTAAGATTTATAAAGTTTTGCTAAACGAAGGTGGTAAACTGAAGAAGAAACAATTTGAGGCCTGTCTACGCTCAAAACCATTAACGATGAGGTTTTTGCCAAAGGGAGCTTTTACTAAATTTTTAAAAAGTTATAGTAATATTTTTGACATCTCTGATGGGTCTATTACTGAAAAAGAGGAAGGTGAAATAACAGACCCGGAAGTGAGAGCAAGGTAAGATATTCAGATATGCCTTGATCACTCTAGTTCATCTCAGGTGTGTAGAGGTGATTGTAATAATTTGCATATCTGTAAATTGAAATCAATCAGCGATTGGCCATTTGATAATTGTCGGTATGGACATGATCTTGAAACAGATCACAACCGCCAGTCTCTTATGCATCACTTTATGCAATTCCTTGAACCTGATCAGGTCCGGATTTTGATAAGCGATATGGACCACAGAAGGGGTGTGACAATACCTTGTATTTGCACTAAATATTACAATAAAATCAATGGTTGTAATGAACCTATAAAATGTCCACATCTACATGTCTGCGCTTTTATTGCAGGTAATTGTGCGTTCCAACCCAACTGTAAACGTTCTCACAATCTGGAAGATGAACAGCCCCAGCAGGTTTTGAGTAAATTTGGGATAGAGATGAACGCACGTAACAAAGATAGTTTGTTGAAAATGCTTAAATTGGGTTCTCTGCATTCTCCAGGGGATCAAGGTCAAGGTGTTAGGAAAACAACCCGTCTTTATAGTCGTAGTGGATCAACCGATCCAGATGAGACTGTCCAAGAAGAAATAAAAGACAAAAAGATCGAAGGAAATATCTCAGACCCTCGTTCTGAAATCAGTAAACCTCTTCGTTATGGGAATATGGCCTGTGAATGATGACTACCGCCTTAGATGAAAAATTACGTATTTATGCATAAAAACTCAGTCTATTTTGTTAGATTGAAATTTAATATAGTGAAACATTTTTTTTAATGTATACCATTTACTTTGCTAACGAAAATGTATCTACATACTATGTTTCTGGTTATGCTTTAAAGGTGTATTACAGTGTGATTTGGCACTTTTATACAAATAGAAACTCTTCACATGATACTATCAAAGACGTGAGATTAACTTGACACAGTTACAGAGTATAAGATTCTTAGAGATGTATATACATTGCAAAGGTCAAAAATTTTCCGGAAAGATGTAAGAAAATCACACATTTTACCTGTATTGTGTTTGCCGTGGAAATATACAAAATAAAAATATTTATCCCTTTTAATAATCTGTCTATTGTTCTTTATTCTCCAGGAATTTAAGTTTTTTTATTCTGCAAAGTTGTCTAAAATATTCAAAATAATTATCTTTTTTGTTCATAACATTAATCTTGTAATAAAGACTTTTTCAACAAAGATGCAATCTTAAACTAAATACATGTAGAATTTTACGCCAGGCGATGGACAAGACATGAAAAAAGAAGACGTTGACACTTTGTCAGAATGGATTATATGTACCGTATGGCGGGTTTTCTTGGCGGATGTAAAATTTGGCGTTTTGCCTGCTCGAATGTTTTCTTATAATTTTTGCGTAATTTATTTTAGCACTCACGGGGTTTCAATAATTTAATTACTTTTGCCTGCTCGAATGTATGATAATAATTTTTGCGTAATTTATTTTAGCGCTCATGGGGTTTCAATTATTTAATTACTTTGTTTCATATTTAGAAAGTTGGAAGATAATTATAGACATCAATAGCTAAACTAGAGGTACAATGAACACTGAGCCCACGAAACGATACCCCCGTCTCCCATATTATTATAATGGCAAAGTCTATTGATTGCTCTTCAAGATCCGAAGTAAGTGTCAGATCAAAAAGTGAAATAGGAGGTACACGATGGCATTTTGTATTACGCATTGAATTCACAAAAGCATCATTACATTTTATTCAGTGGTATATATAGGAAGAGTTGCGGATAAGAGATGGGAAACCTTCAACATCATGGAAAAAATAGCAGACCCTATGATTGTTTGCTATAGGAAACCGTAAATATGTGTTGATCAAAAAGTGAAATAGTTTTTAGATTTTTAGAGAAATGATACTTTTTCTGCGGGCAAAATGGTCATTATTAGACTTCGAATCATGACCGTTATATTATATATACCCTGGGGTCATTATTCTATGGCGAAAATAACCCACGGTCATTATTCATGTTATTTTATGGGAGGGGGCATTATTCATCTCTACTCCGGAAGCGATAAGAACATACCTTCCTCGACTATTTATTACGTTGATTACCGAGGCAACGATTTTACAGCCTATTTAGTTTTTTTTTTTATGAAAAAAGGCGACAAGAATGCACCTTGCTCAGACATTTGCACTAAAGTGAAACATACCTTCGTCATTTAGTTATCCCAACAAATGTGGACAATATTAAGATTTGAGTTAATATACGTATAAATGTGAATAATAAATATAAATGTCTTTATTTTACCTTTTTTTATCAAAGAATTGAATTATTCTGAAATTGTTATTTTGACAACATATTCATTTATTTCATTTCAATTCATTGTCTCTAAAGAACTATTTACTTACCCATGATCGAAATAGCAGTTTGAATCGATCGAGGAAAATGTGAGAAAAGAAGGAGTTATACATTCTACATAACCTGTAGGTATATGCATAAGTATAAGAATTGTACGAGGGTTGATCCAACAAGCTAATTCAGAGAATGTGTGTCCCTCGCTTATGGAAAAGGTAAAACATGTGCAGTTCGGGGGGAGGGAGGGGAGAGTCGGATCCCCCTCACTGAATTTGTAGAATTATTAAATGTAACGATTAAAAGGAATTCATGTACGCTTTGTAAGTTTTTCGGGCGGTACATGCATGTATAGTGAAGCAAATAAAATATACCATTATGGATATAAAGATTTAATTGCTTATACTTTATTATGTGTATATAAGATTCTTTTTGTATGGAATATTAATCACACTGTAATGATGATTTTATGAGTTTGTTCAATCCAGACCTCGTAAATTTTTCATTTCGCGTGCTGAATACTATTATTTAGTTTTAAAAAAAGTATTTCCAAAGAAAAGGGGGTCCGTCCGGGACTTGAACTCGGGACCTCTCACATGGGTAGCGAAAAACATACCACTAGACCACGGAATCGCTTTACAAGGAGTTAAATATATGCAGAAGTAAAGTCACATACATGTATATATTCATGTTCGATATTGTCAAAATTTTACATAATCCATGGTGTTTGATTTATTTAGCCTTTATTTAACAGTTCTAATAGATGTAATAAGAACATAAAGTCCTCCGAGAACCTGTTTTATACGCAATAACTCTCCTCATGCCCCTATGCTAAAAATAGCGACATATAACACTATAAATACTAATAAAACAAACGGAGCGGGGCACTTTGAGAGGGGTGAGTGAGGTCTAGGGAGTTTTGGTATAAAATTACATTGCATAAGCTCAAAATCTTCTTGAAATATCGCCCGGAAATGATAGAGTTACACACAGAGAGTATGTATAAATTTACGACCTTGAACTTTGACCTTTTGACCTCAAAATCAACAGGGGTCTTCATTAGGCCACAGGGAGCTGTTATGTAAAATTCCATTGCAATATCTCAAATGGTTCTAGAGATATCGTGTGGAAACGAAAGTGTTATAACAGACAGAATTTGCTTATTTATTACCCAACCTTTGACTTTTTGACATCAAAATCAATAGGGTTCTTCTTTAGTCCATAGGGAGTTCCTATGTTAAATTTCATTGCAAAAACTTAGAGGGTTCTCGGGATATCGTGTGGAAACGAAAGCGTTACAGACAGACAGAAAGACGGACAAACCCAAATTGATGTCCCCCACTTTTCAAGCGGGGGACAAAAATAATGTCACATCTTAGATAAAATTGCTATAAATCCACGTAAAGCAACAAAATTATTTAATTATACATGATGGAAGCTTTAATTTATTTCAAATCAGACCTGAAAAATTCAAAGAAATATGATGTTTATTTTCCAAAATATAGGATTTCACAGAAAGTTCGTGTATGGCAGTCGCCGCACCTAAATATAACGTCATATGACGGATATGCACCGTCATACTTTTAGGCGTTTCCCCTTCCTTTCATTAAAAGGTCTTTGTGATTTCCAAACACTTTCAACAATTCCTCTTTCTTTAAGTATTCTTGATACCATTATACACACACTCTTTTCATAATGAAGCTCGATCTCTGTCAAAATCTTTTGAACAGTAGCATAAGACAATCTTAAAAATCCATATGTCACTCTATACGGCTGTCTTTTTTGACCACTGAACGTTTCAGTCCGATCTCCTGTCTTTCGGTCTTCTTGTCCTCTGCTAATCATTCAGTGACCAATCACCCATCAAAAATTGCTGAAACAATTTATTAAGATGTCACTCATTTATATTCTTTATTCTGTAAGTCTGATTAATTAATGTAACTGTTGCTTGTGATGATTCCCATATTTTGAAGCAATAATGCATTTACAACTCATCAAGCCGTTTTTTCCCATTTCGACAATCCCTTTGTTCAATACAACAGAGTAAAACAACAATGTTAATGATAACAAATACCAATGCCGTCGTTTAATTTTCAATTAAAGATAACAAAAATGACGAGAATTGCGTCTTTTAAAAAATTGGGAGATAAAGTGCTTTTTTAGAATCTTTTTAATGCATGTGTTTGTCTTTTTTATTCTAAGAAAAAATAAACTTTAAAACGTTACGTTCCGTTGTGACGCGGCGACACCCCCTATGCTCTATATGTTTTAACCATTTAGAAAATGAATTCAAAGAAACATTATTGAATTAAAATTTCAATGTTAATTAAATTTACATTTGTGCATGTTTTGGTATATTGTATTTAATAATATGACGCCAAATATAAAAGATATGGACACTCTGACATTCCTTTCGGATCAACCCTCGTATCAAAGGGAAGTATTTTTTACGTAAGTTGTAAACAAACAAAAATACCACACAATACATTGAACTAGTTCTGAATATTTCAAATATTTAAAAACATTTTTTAAAAATATTTTTACAAGAAATCATTTTTTAATAGAGCCGAAGCTACCTCGATTTCTTTCGAATATATTTCATATTATTATACTCCCGGTTGAAAAGTGGGAGCCTCTGGTATGTGATCGGGATGTACGTTCGTCCGTCCGTCTGTTACGTTTTGGGTACCTGTCTCTTATTCGAAGCTCCTCTCATACCACTGATTGAAATTTAATGAAACTTTCACGGAATCTTTGTGACAAAGTGCCATTGTGCACCCCTTTCTTTACCTTTTTGATCTGACTCATAGTAGTTTTGCAGGTTTCCCATAGAGTCCCCCATCCCCTATTTCAGGCTAATTAAGGAACGGAGAGCCTGTTTAACCCCGTCGTGCTGTTCATATTCATGCCAATGGCTTATTGGCTTTTGAAAAAAATAATTAAAACATTTTTTTAAAATGTTTTAAAAGGATCGTTTTTATCACGTTTTAACATACTTAAAAGAAGAAAAATTGGCTTATCATTGTCTAGTCTTTTGCCATCTTTTTCTCTTTTTTATTGCATATTTGTCTGTACAATTATGCATTAAATGTCGATTCATTAATTGTTCAGATACCATTTTCTAAAATCATCTCTTTATTTTGTTAAACACCCGCTTAAAAAGCAGGAGGGTATATAGTAATCAGGATGTCCGTCCATCTGTTACACTTTGGGGTACTCATCTCTTATCCGCAACTGCTCTCATACCACTGAATGAAATCTGATGAGACTCAAAGAATTTTTATAAAATATTGCCATAGTGACCTCCTGTTTTACTGTTTGATCCGATACATATTTTGGGTTCCCCGTAAATAGCAAAACATGGACACTGCCATTATATAACTGTAAATTCATATATTTTCTAGGATTCAAATTTTCGAGGATTGAGGAAAATGTTAAAGTTCACTGAGATTTGATTTCGCGGTTGGAGAAATGTTCGTTAGAAATATATGTGAAAAAATGCATTTCCTGGTAAACATAAATTCGTGGGTCTCTTCATATCTTTAAAAAAAAACAGACATTAACCCTATGAAAATTAGTGATTTCACTGTATTTGCACATTTGCATGCTTTCTGGACCAAAAATTGAAAATAATTACATTACTTGCTCTGAATGCCATATTGGGTATTGAAAGTGGCTTGAGCGGAAAGAATACTTCTATTGGATGAAATATTAAATTTTGAAAATTAAAAACATCAATAATTTTTTTAAAAGTCTCTTCATTCTAATGCAACTTGCTCTCTTCCTTTCTTATTTTATTAATGCATTTTGTTTATTAATGGACTGATAATTGAGGCAGTTAAACGAGCAATATTGTGAAAGTAAGTTTTCAATTCGATTTTGACGCACCTCTGTCAACTTTGGTACATGTATAGATCTACATAGATAAGTGGTGAAAATATATATTCAAACAGTTTAAATCATTATGAAAGCTCTTGCACAAACTGTTTAAATGTTTTGGTCAAGGATACGTTTTTGAAAGGTAGGTCAAACTCCAATGGGTTAAAGTTGTAGGTTTCTTCTTAAGAAAGGTCTTGTCCCACAAGTATAACATATGTGAAGTATGCAAGTCCTAACCCCAACTGATCAAAAGTTATGACCAAGGTTAACCATTTAAAAGTGATCAAACTCCAAAGTCAAGATCAAAGTTGGTTTTATCCAACAGAAGGGCTTGTCAAAAGGATTGAATATGTGAAGTATGAAAGCCGAAAGTCTTGCCCTTAAGGATATCCGATCCTCAGCTAGGAAGAATAACTCTAAAAATTATTTAATTTGAAATGCATCAAAATGAAGCTTAAAAATGAATCTTTTTTTATGCAACAATTTTCATTTTATTCATCTTTATAAGATTCAAGATTTTTGGAAGTGTTAGAAAAGGTCTTGTAAACTGTTGACATTTGTACCCTATAAAAGGAACAAGAATTAATACAGTTTTAGAAAAAAAAAGATTTTCTTGAATCCAGCCTTAGATATCAATGCATATTAGCTTGATATGAAAAAAGAAGTGATTTGTGGTGTCTTGCAATGATAGCAAAAGCCTTTTACACTGTGTGTTATAGAATACATGACGGAAAGAGAAGACAAAAAGAATACCAAATATGTATAAAAATCATGACAATTTCTCTGAATGCCTGGATACATATCGTTTTTTAACCTACAATATATTTGTTGATCAATTTGCAATTAGAAAAGGCATTGCAAATATTCCAATTTGCTTTTTCTGCAAAAATGTTGAAGATTTGAAAATTTTCCCTTTATAATATGATTAACTATAATATTTAACTTTAAAGAAATACTGTGGATAAACTTACATAACTCTGTGGATTCAGAGATACTTTTATGAGTATTTTTAAATACTTAACTGCTAATTTTATAAACCTGAGGATCAGACTACCTTAAAAAGTTAGTGTCAAGTTTTTTTAAAGTAGGTTAAACTTCAAGGTCAAAGGGTCAAAGTTCTTGGTATTTTATGAAGGGTCTTCTCACAAGAATTACATATGTGAAGGATAAAACCTCTAGTACTTACCGTTCAAAAGTTATGGCCAAGGTTAAAGTTTTTTCATAAGTATGAAAATCTTCAAGGTCAAAAGGTCAAATTTGATGGTATCTACTGAAAGGTCTTGCTACAAAGAATACATAAGTGAAACATGAAAGTCCTGGTCCTAGTTCAGAGATATATCAATCAGAAGTGACAACAGGTGCATTGGAGGAGTGTGCATCCCCATTCTCTATCCAGAGTTGTACTTCGTTACCGCTTCTCTCACACATAAACCTCTGTTAACTTTTGTTATTCACGACTCTTGGAGAAATTGTAAACTATCAAAAATTGTATTAATAATATTTTTAATTGTATGTATTATCGGATTTATTTATTTTATTTTATTACACTTTAAATAATAAATAATTTACTCTGAATAAACTACATAATTCCTACATACATTGAAAATAAGTCGTTCTGAGGGATAAAAGATTTAAAATAAATAATAAATAATGAATTACCATCTTTATCGATAATTACAATAATTAATTATCATTCAAATTTCGAATCTTCGCTGTTTAAAATTTGTACAAGAATCTTGTACAACGAGCGTTGACAGAGGTGTTGTGAGCATATAGAGGAAGATAACTCTGAATAAAGAATCTGTACATCTCCTGCTTATCGGTCTAAGCAGACGTGTGCCATAATTTTGAAATGACGGGGAAATCCACAGATAATAATAGGATATGAATAAATACTAGTATATAAAAAGTCATTCATTTTGAAAGGTTGTATTTACTAACTAGGTCATTACTGTATATAGAACATAATTAATAATTGCAAAAAGTAATTTCAATCTCGATTCAATCGAAATTGTTGATATTCTGTATCTCTAACTTGCTTATCATTGGCTTGCCTAGATTTAGAAATAATTTTAAGTTGAGCATGTTCTTGCGTATCGAATCAAATGAGAGTTATAATCCCCGTATGCAGGTGATAGGGGTTTATTTCCATATAAGTAAGGGATGTTGAAAATTCATTATATCAAGCTTTTGTTTCAAAATTTAACGTAAAAATAAATTGATAGTCCATGTCAATTTTCTACACGGGTCAGAAATTTATGCTATTATATTATAAATGAAAATCCTACGTCGTGAGAAGAGTCCAATTTTATTCACCAAATGTTATTTAATCATGGGCGTAGCAACAGGTGGGGCCGGGGGGGAGGGCCTTGCCCTCCCACTTTTTTTCCAAACCTTACTTACATACTGTATACTATAGAAAAATGTTGATTGAAAGCCTAGTTGCCCCCCCCCCCACCTTTAATGATGTACCGAAACTGCAGTATTAGAATTTGTACTGAAAGTAGTTGACACTGAGAATAAGAAAAAGTTTACCTCAACCCCCCCCCCTCAGCCACCACCACCAACACCACCACAAAATAGGATTTTCGACTTTGGGCAACTCCCCCCCCCCTTTTTTTTTTGCTTGTCAACTTGAAAGTAAAAAACAATTCTCCGGCTGCCCCCCCCCCCCCCACCCTTTCAAAAACGATGCTTGCGCCTTTTAGTCATATTTACCATTTTACTTCTGAAAAAAATGGGGAGACAATGTGCCTTTCAATGAATGTATAGTCGACTTTCACATTACCGTCGCCATTTTAGGTCAAAGGTCAATCGGCGTAAACATGCCATCGCGTCAGTAGAAACAAAATGGCTACATGTAATACATCAGTCCAGAGGGTCGTTCAATCTGACGTTTATTGTTTTTATTCTGTAGCAAAGATCCATACACGTAAGAAAATCAAAATTCTTTATTACTGAAATTATTAAATAACAATAAATTGCCATTACTTTCATTCAAAATTCGTGCGAATCGGACATTAATGTAGTCGCATAGCGTTTCTCCCTATGTAAACACTCATGACGAAAGACATTATAAACTAGTATTTAAAATCAATGAATACCGTTTCATACAGGATAATATTTTTAATCATAGCCTTAATTATTGATATCACTTTGTTTCATCCTACAAAAATGTTTTGTTTTGTTTTTTCAACGGATATGTCATATATATTTATATAATTGCAGTATTTTAGATCTAATGATCTATACTACAGTAGATATAAGATTTTATTTAAACCAAGAGACATACGTCTCATAGGTAGAACACTGTATGCAGTTATGGACAACAATCCCAACTGCCTGCAGTTCCCCATTTAGTATTATACATAATATTGTACATGTAGATGTATATCTAAGATAAAATTTATGTGTCAAAAAAAAAAAAAAAACAACAACAAAAACAAACTAGAGGTACTGTGAGCAATGAGCTCACTAAATGATGCCCCCGCCTCCCATAAGAATATAATGGTAGTGTCCATGTTTGCTGTGGGAAACCCAAACTAATGTGTCAGATCAAAAAGTAAAATAGGAGGTTACAATGGCAATATGTAATAAAGATTCTGTGAAAGTCTCATACAATTTCATTCAGTGGTATGATGCGGATAAGAGATGGGTACCCCAAAGTGTAATAGGTGGATGTACAGACGGATATACCAATTACTATATACCCTCCTGCTTTTCTAGCAGGGTATAACAAAAACCAAAAAGAAAAAAAAGAAAAAAAAAACACACACACACACAAAAACCAAACAAACACAAAAAGAGATGTTGTCTTAATCATGTAATTATAAGTAATTGCCATAAGTATTAAATTTGAATAGTAAGTCTTAAGAAAGAATGATTAAAGAAGAAAATTTGATTCAAATTTCAGATACCTTGTTTAAACAAATATACAATGCAGAGTGCTCTTGGACTGTTCTCCCCTAACTTTCAGTGAAGATGTTAATTACATTATTTAAATTTTTCATTGTCAAAAAATATTGAAAAATCTTTATGATTTTGTTTTAAATTTCAGCATTTGGTGATGGGTATGTTGCAAAATTTTGTTGAGTTTCTAATTTTCAGTTTAGGAGTTCCAATTATTTTTGGTTTGTTTTTAAACATTATGACCCAGAGAGTTTGTTGTGTCAAAGACTGCAACAGCAGTGGATATCATTGGAAAAAATGGCGAGAACAGTTTTGCGAAATGCACTTTTGCAATTTTGGCACATCAAGGTGCATATGTACACCACCCTTTCAGTTATTTCCCTTTCCAACTGAACTTCGCGATCCCCATGCACGGTCTGTATGGAGAAAGAACATAAACAGGACCTCAACAGATGGGAAGAACATCTGGTCACCAAATGACAATTCGCGAGTTTGTTCTAAGCATTTTGTTGATGGTGCACCCTCACTGCTTCATCCTTATCCCACCATAAATCTGGGGCATATGTCATCTATTGTCTCCAAGGGTCGCTTACCTCCAACTAAAAGAGAATTAAGTAAAGAAACACCAAAAAAAAGGAAAATATCTGAAAGCCAAGATGACCCTGTTTATGTGTGCAAACTTGATCATGACTATGCAAATCCTTGTATCACATGTATTGAAAAATCAAAAGAGATTTCAGCACTCAAATCAAAAATCAATGAACTCCAAATTGAGTTAATAAAGCAAAAGAAGCTAAAGCAAAAACCACTTTCCATTACAGACACAGTCTTAAAAAGTAACAAATCTGTAAGATTCCATACTGGTTTGCCTTCGTTAAGTGCTTTTCACACCATCTACAAGGTTATTGAGCCAAAGATAAAGAAAACCAAGTACTGGAGAGGTCCTAAGCATGTGTTCCACACCCTTAAACACAAGGTTTTAAAGAAGTCAGGGCCACGAAGATTTCTGTCATTAAAAGAGGAGATGGCATTGACTCTTATGAAATTAAGATTAGGTCTTTTGAATGAAGACTTAGCTACAAGATTCAATATCAGTGCTCCACATATCTCAAAAATCTTCACTACATGGATCAAGATTCTATCCAAATTTCTTGGAACCTTGGTGTTCAATCCATCCAAAGAAGTAGTGCGTGAAAATCTACCACCATCCTTCAGAAGCAAAAAATATTCATCTGTGCGCCATATCATTGACTGTACTGAGGTATTTTAAGAGAAACCGCAAAATCTAGAGGTGCAGACAAAAACGTGGTCAGATTATAAACACCATCATACTGCTAAGTTTCTGATCAGCATCAACCCATCCGGGATGATTAATTTTATATCAGACTGCTGGGGAGGTAGAACCAGCGATAAATACATCACAAATAGATCTGGTTTCTACAGTTTGATTGAACCCTATGATGTCATCATGGCTGACAGAGGATTCCAAATCAAAGAAGAGGTTACCCTTCTTCATGCCAATTTGATGGTTCCACCAGGACGTAGAGGAGCTTGCCAAATGTCAGCTGACGAAGTACAGCAAACAAAGCAAATAGCAAACAGGCGTATATATGTTGAGCAAGCCATTCGCAGAATGAAGTATTTCAGAATTCTGAAGCATGAAGTCCCTGCTACTTTATTTCAGCATTTAGATGATATAATTAAAACTGTTGCTGGCATTTGCAACTTGTATCCTCCCTTGCCTAAATACAAATAAATTATTCCAAAATTTTCTTTTATGTATAGCACCTACAAGAACAAGTAAAACATTTTTTCAATTCACAGTAACATTTTTTAATGAATTAAACAACAAACAGACAAACTAACAATGAAATAATATTTAACACTCCCTATGAATAAACAGTTTTTCTCCGTCAATAAATACTCATAATTTACTTGGATGTTGAACATTTCAAACAAAACCACTTATCTTTCTGTTTTAGTACTGTTTGTGTTACATTTACACACTTAAAATGAAACCACAAATTGCATTCATCACAAGCAATGCTTCTGTCACTATAGGATGTAATAGACCCTGTTTCTTTTATGATGTTTCTACACACTGGACAAAAATATCGAGAACTGTTACTTGTACCCACATCAACATCCATAGGTTCTATATTCTCTTGACATTCATTAAGTTTACCTTGTAATAGTTCAGGTACAATGTAATCAGTGAAAAATATAACTAAATTTGGTAACAAAAATTTTGAATATGCATCCTGATCAAATTTGATTCTACATTGTAATGTGCCATTTTTGTGTATATATATAAATCACACCAATTGCGACCTGTTATGCCGAGCTGACCCTGAATCTGGGTAAAATATGCATGATTTTTTTTAACACAAAAACCATCATTACAAATTTTTACATATTCTGGAAGATGACAAACACAAAAAGATTTACATTTTTTACACTCCGGTACAAGAGGACACTTAACTTCAAGAAGACCATCTCCACAACATGAACAAGAAACCAGTAAATCTGGTGTAGCACTAAGAAAAATATTTCTCTTGTCTATAAACAGACCACACTTTCTTGATGACACATTGACATGTTGTTTTTTATAAGTATTTAAATAAGAACAGATTGCTAATGGCTCAGTTTCTCTACCATATTTTAAAGATTTGATATTGGGATTAATCTTTGTATAGCACATGATAGACTTGGTAAGTGAAGAACAATCTACTTGTACATCTTTTCTACGACCATCCAGAACAGAGTTCACTTTTGTATATACTTGATAAAATTTAGAAGCAGTTATCCGTCCTTTACGCAAGCGGTGCCAATTTTCATTTTCATGTTGTCCAACAGTAAATTTCTCAATAGTTGAAATTTCATAATCATCAATTTTTGGTAAAAAATTTAAAAATTCATAACAAGTATTTTGAGAACCATAAGACTTTGATATGGCTGATAAATCAAATTTATCAATAACAGAAAGGTCTTCATGGCCTGTATCTTCTTCGTTTAATCCTACGGCTCCCTCTGCTTCCTGAGCTGAAGTTGGAACATCACCAGTCCGAGGTAAACCTTGAAGTAAATAAACAAAACTAATCACAATAAGTCTTTGACTGGTGTAAAATTTATCCACGTCTTGTCAAACTAGATATGTTGTATATTATATGATGTACCAAGCCAACAAACTGGGCAAACCAGGAAACACCTCACGGGAAAGTATCGATAAGCAACATAGTAATGTGCCAGACTAGTCAGTGAACATCATTACATGTGAAAACATTTTTACAGTATTTCCATCTTACAAATTTTATAACTATGTTATATAACTTATATAGATTTTTATTAATTAATTAGTAATAATACATTTCAGAATTATACAGTCATGCTAATTGGTTTAAAGGTTGTCAAATGTGAGGAGACAATTTGTGAAGTCTTATTCATGCTCTGCAGGGTGACACCTGTGTTGCCTCCCTTCAAATGACAATAAAATAGCTCAAGTGAGCAATTAGTATGACAACTCTGTTGTCTTCACTAAGTTTAAAATAGGTGTCATAAACAAGATGACTCATATTTATAATTACATAATTAAATTTGTTTACGGATTGGTAAACAATTTTAACAGTGAGGACAAAGTTATCATGGTTATATTGAAGATACTTTGAAAGTATGGAATTGGAGCAGTCGATAGAAGAAAACATGATTTGACTAATGTTTTCTAATCTTATGCTATCTTAATATAAGATTCTTTATAATAATAAAACAATCATGGACTGTTCAGAAGGGGACCATCACTAATTATCAGGTCCGAGTAGGGTTGTTGCCCTTTGGCACAAGGGCTCTCAGGTGTCAACTGTACTCAGACTTATATGTCTCAATCCCCTGTTATAAAGAGTCCATAATGTTAGATTAGTTATAATTTACCTTTGAATAAACAGGCCTCGGGGACAACACCACGAAGTGCAATGCTCAAATTGTCAAGTATGGCGGTGTTGGACTCCTCAATTTCAAGAGGGTTGTACTTTTTCTTTTCAGTGGCCACTAGTGGTCTGCTTTTAGCTATAAAATTAATTTATATATAAACACAAAATTGATTCATAATCTCTTTCAAAAAAGATATATATTTAGCCTTTCATTAGTGTTTTTGTTGTATATGAAATGAAAAAAAAACATCTAAAGAAATTTTAAAAAATTTATGTATTTCAAGGACACTGTATAATACCCCGGTACTACAGAATATTTAAGTAAACAACAATATGGAAGTATGTTATGAAATCATAGTTTAAATGATATACCATATTTAGCTCGAGAAGATTTCTTCAGGCTGGTACATAAGGCTGATATTTTCCGTGGCTCCAAATTTTTCATCACCTTTGGCTGCACCCAACCACATCTGGCCATAGTACATGATGTCTGCCCAAACTGATTAGCAGCCTCGATGCGAAAAAGTAATGCAGCAACATGGTTGCATGTTTGCCCTAATCTACAATATTGATCAATGTCAAACATATAATTTAAAACATGTATGACACACTTTATCTTATTAAATCAAATTTGACCATTACATAATTAGTCAACTGAAATGTAAATTTTCATACCCTGCAGTACATGTACAGTAGGCTCCCAAAACCTCACCATCCTCTTCCGAAATTGCTGCCCAGCAGTCATGTAAATAATCTCGAATTCGTTGGGAGGGGGTGCACTTTGCTCTTAAGATGCATTTCTTTTCGCTTGTCAAACGGTAATAAAAAACTTCTTGCAGCCAGCCACTTGTAAAATATTCATATGCTTTGCCAACCTTGTAATCTTTGAGAAGTGAATTTGTAAGGGAGACATCTCCATGCTTTAATAAAAACTGAGTAATGTCAGACAAAAATGTCGGTGGCCACTTATCTATTGCACTCTTCTCGTCCATCCATCCTTCGTATGTTTTCAGGGGGTTTTGGATTCCACAAGCAGATAAAATACTTTCATAGCACTTAGCATTATGTTCCAAAATATCACGAGCTGTTGGAATAATAGGTAGATTTAACTTGGAAGCAGAAAAACAAAGAGCTACAAGTTCTTCTTTAGTACAGTGTTTTAAGTAGTTCCGGATTGCAACTAGGAAAACGCTCGCTGCATTGTTTGCGTAGGACTTAAAGTTGATTTCTAAACTGAATCAAATAGTCCTTTTCCTACCTTTTCAACCCCTAATGGCATTTTGTTAAAAATGTTACACTATATTATAAAACTCTCGTACATTAGATATAAGGGAATTCAAGCAGTTTCGAAAATTTCAAGTAGTTCCGGTTATAGCCATTTATCGGGATTATTAAATTGAAATCGTATCAAAATTCATTATAAATGATCAATTTGTAGAGATTCCCTACAATGAGACCTTAACATGTAATTTATATATGCATTATATGAATAAAAATATAAAGGAGAAAACATGATGTTTAAGCAAATTTATTGAAAATGAAAACATGAATTAATCTCAACATGAAGTGAACTTATGTTTCTATACACTTTCTCAGCCCTTTTAAAATCAATTTAATTATTTACAAATATTTCAATGAACATGATGAAGAATTAAATTAAATTTTTGTCCTTTTTAATTCCTTTTTTAAATCTTGTATGGTGTACAAGTCCATTGAGAAAACACCGTCCATAGTAAATCCAGAACTACTTAAATTGGGATGTTGTGAAGATTGCTCATTATTTTGGAGATGCTTCGTAGTATTAGAAAACCCAAAATTCTTGAGAAAGAAGAAACACCAGTGTCTTATCCACACTTCACGAATTAAATAGGTACCCTTAAAAAGTTTCAAAAAACACCTACAACTTTAGGAACAGCATGTAATTTTTCTACTCAACGTAAATAAAGCGCTTCTGGTAGTAAACATTAAGCTGTTAACATGGAAAGAGAGACGGACTTTATGATCTTGCTTTATCGTCTAGATTTTAGACAATAAATTCAACTTCGTTTATACAAAAATTCACAAAAAACAGAAACCATTTTGTGCGTTTAATTTTCATTTTTAAACGAAAATTATCCGGAACTGCTTAAAATCCAAAACTACTTAAAGCACTGTACCTTCTTTAGACAGACCCCTCTTGGTTAAATAGGCCTTCAAATTTTCTGTTTTCCACGTTTGGAATTCTTGCAGGGTGTAAATCTGATCTCCAGGATCCATAGTGTAAGTCTATATCAAATTGTGTATACGTAAAATGGCTCAAAATACAGTAATTCGATAAATAAACAAGTCGAAATAATACCCGCTCAGTATTGTTTTAGCAATAAGGCCGCTTAGGTTAAAGACTTTACGCCGATTGACCTTTGACACGGGCCGCTTACAACATATTATTGAGGAATGTGAAAGTCGTCTATTAATTGTAAAAGGCATTGGTTGGATGGGGGCATCATTTGATACAACGGCTAGCACACACCGTATGTAATAGTGGGGTATGCATTCTTCGGTCTTTTAATTTCTAACAAATACTCAGTTTAATACTTCTTCATTAACAAAATTAATATACATTGAGCTTTTGGTAATTTATTTTCTCAAGAATTGTAAAAATAAATTTATTACTTCGGTTTGATCATCATTTTTGAAGATTTTAATGAATCCCATGAACTTGTAGATCCCCAGTAAAGCCAAGTCATTCCTGCAGAAGATGATGTCCGTTTCTTGTAGTATATTCCATTGAGATTACAATGGTGACACGTATTGAACCACCATCCATTGCCGTAAGAAGAAGCACAATTGCTGCCCCATTTATCATTGTCATTATCCTTTGTAGAAAATGCCATTCCATTATGATACGAAAAACTATCCTCTGTAAATAAAAAATAATGCATTGGTGTATTATTACTTTTATTCAAAGTACGAGAACATATTGCTCTCTGAAATTTACAGAATGCTAAGTCGGGCACACAAAATATTTAAGAAATATTATAAGGTTTGTTTGAGTTATTGGTGTTTATTTACATTGGCTTTTTTTTTTACTAAGCCAACTGTGATAGATGTTTTGAATACCATTTTCGTGTACATACTCAAGTGAATCATACAAAGTTAAACTATCGCTTTATAAGAAATACTAAGTATGCAGGTGATACTGCTGATGTTGTAATAAAAACTCATGCTTCCTAAAGTTTTTATGCATTAATGAATTCATTTAAACCAAGAAAATGCTCATGAAAAGTTTGAATAAATTCTGTGCACCGGTAAAAATGGAATTGCTAAAAATCCGGGACCGTCGGGCGTTGGGAAGACTAGATTTACTGCTTGCCGTCATTATGTAGAGTTGTTATTCGTATCTCTTTCAGTGTATGACGCTACACTAAAAATGAGTTCCATTACGAAAAACTTTTGAGGTTCCTTATAATTTAGTTTTACTTTGAACGAAATCTAATATTCAAAATAAGATTACTTCATCATTACATTTACTTACATTTCAAATTATAAAAATTAGAGCAATTCAGGAGAAAATGACATGAACTAGCATGTTTTCTGTTGAATATCATCGGAGTAAATCGGTCGACACAGTAGCCTCGCTTTCGGCTCTATATAATCAATACAAATTACTGCGCATGTTAAATGCGTGATTACCATGGGAGATTGAACATAGTTCATCTCCCAAAAAAGGGGGGAGCTAATTTGAGGAAAGAAAATACCAAATCAAAAAAAAAAAAAAAAAAAAAAAAAAAAAAAAAAAAAGAATTAATGAAAACCTAGCTAACCCGGTTCCGGCGTCTATGTGTTTGTAAAATAGCACACAATGAATTTAAAAATCTAAACTTAGCTCTAATTTTGCACACACTCAATTACTGTCATGTAAACCCTCATGGAATATCAATTTTTCTTTTTTATATTTGTATTGTATTGAATCTATTGTATATACTAGGGATTGTTTATGAATTAGTTAGGAAGATTTCAGTGGTCTAGTTTTAGTGTTTTTGTACATGTAGTACTAGTATATGTATAGTGTTCAAACCAAGTTATATGTTTCGGGATCCTTCATTTGTATGCGTACTACGATTTGATAATTGACGATTATTTTGTTCTTAAGGGAGGGTAAATTTTAAATCAGATTGATGATTTTCAAGCTCTCGCATAAATATCAATTTCCAAGATGACCAACAGAGAAAAGATGGTGATGAGATTTTTTTTTACAAACTCCAAAATTTCATTTCGGGATGGGGTGGGGGTGGGGGCTAGTTACCACCACTCAAGATCAAATTATTTATTTTTGCAGGCAACATTTCTAAGGAGAGATTATTTACCATCTTGCAGCGCTGTTTTCAGAATCGAAAAATTAGCAAATACAAATTTCTGCAATGGATACATACTCATGCCAAATGATCCCTTGTATCCTCCAATGGTTAACTTGTACTTGTCTGATTTACTTCCGACAACAAAAGATGAGTAGTAAACAAACCCTTTCTCGCCAGTAAATCTCTGCAAATCGATTCTTAATTTCATTTTTCCTCCCGTTGTTAATGCATGGACAGCATCATTACCTTTAAATAAGAGTGACAGGTCAATTATTTTCATTTTAGTCTTAATGTCCCAATATGATGGAATTTAAGGTCAACATCTAGTAAATAACTTGAGACTAATTTTTTGGTGCTAGATCCATTATGACGTCATAATCAATTTCAACTTTCTTTTTCCCGTACTTTACGGCTTAAGCAGAATTATGTAGAAAATAGGGTATTTTCATTTCATTTGATTTCAAATCATATAAAAAGTAAACCGGATACCTATATTAGATTTGATATTGATTTAAAGAGGAGGCCATAAACATACTAATTACCGTTTTCTGAGAGTCTGTAGGCAATCTAGATACATTTCCTTTACCGAATACGGAAAAAACTCCCATATTCATCAATGGTTTTCTTAATTTTTCATTGAAAAAGACAGTTTAAAATACAGTTTTTCATCTTGTTTACCTACAAATTATGCCCCGAAACACCTTATTTGACCAAGCTAAAGTTGTAAAGCATCAATAAAGGAATTTATTTCTCAGGTTTGATAAATCTGTAGGCTCCTTTCATTTACTAGATCTTGACCTTAAGGTAGATTTCTAGATATTTAAAGCATATTTTAGTTTATTTTATATACTTAGTTCTTTTCGAAAAAAAAACATTCGCCTTATAATTAAATCCTCTACATTTCTATGTAATTTTAAAACACTTACATCTCTACGAATCTTCCATTCTATAATCTTTTCTTTGTATTTAGGAAAATTATTTTTATTTCATTAATTTAACCTAAAATATCTTCTTATAATAAGACATTGTTCAAGAAAAGTACATATTTATTTATGTACGATCTTAAAGTTTCAAAATATTCCAACATACTTAGAAATGAATAGCATTATCAAAATTGTAATATTTTAGCTAAGTAGAATTTTTTATTCAAAGAAATATATAAGAAACTGACCAAACCAATATTCATGTTTAGGGTGTCCGAATCCTTCAGCAAAGTCCTTCCATTTCTTACTCTGAAAATCTGTTGTTCCATCCATTCTTCTCTGTATTACCTATAACATAATTGACAGAAAGACGATAAAAGGAAAGTTCATAACTAAAGGTTCTATATAATATTATTAGCCGCATGAACTAAGGGTAATAATTTTAATAAGTTTACCACGATATAGAAAACTATGAAGAATGACATGGAGATAGAGTGTTACGAACAGTATTCAATTTCAAAGTCCATAAAACAATACAAAATATAGGAGCAGAGCAAACACGAACCTCCGAAACATCAGAGGTGGGATCAGGTACCATGGATGAGTGAGCATAAGAAAACTAAGCTACCATACCACTGCATGCTGGTGCCCCCCCCCCATCCCCTTAAACGTCCGATGACCTTTTTTCTTTCGAATTCTTTTTCTTTGCTTGTTTAGAATTTTTTTTAGCTGATAGTGACCCCAACTGAAAATGTTTGACCGCATGTGACGCCTAATATTTTACTCGAGTTATACACAATATTTTACTCAACTTATTAATCATATAAAAAAAACCCATTAAATCCACTCACTGTCCATCCCCCTCCGTCTGTCGTCATGTCACAGTACACCTTTCGTTTGGTTCCACTACTAGGATAGATTGTGTACACGCCATCTCTGTTTTTTCTGTGAGGCTTCTTCTTTAAAATCTCAGAACAATCTTTAAACTTCTCAGGAACTGTCATATAAATTGATTGTATCATACAGACATTTTGTAAAAGTAATATTTCAGTATAGTGTCTTGTGCCTCACATGATAAAATTTATTTTCCAGACTTTACGGAATATGTATCAGGTAATTTTGAATGAAGACACGAAATGTTTCTATATTATACTCATATCATTCTATCTTTACACCCATTGGATTATTAAAACAATCTGTTGATTCTTATGCGAAACTAAAGTACGAGTAAATGACAGAAATAATCTATAAAGACGTGCAAAATATGACTAGAAATACCCAATGAAGATTAATTGTCCATGAAATATATTGTTTACTATAAAAAGATTCTGATATACATTTTTTGGAAAAGACAAGTCCTCCGAATAACTTGTATTTGGACTGAAGAGTCAGGACTATTGGACCACTAAGGGAGGCAGACATATCGGTGTGCTGCCATGGTGCGTGCTTTAGAAAAGAACCCACCTCACCTGTTGAACGAGAAAAAAAAATTAAATAGAAAGATTGAGGTAATATATAGTTATAATTTATGAAATTATTATGAGATAAGTTATGAATAAAATTAATTTCATCTTTTGATAAGGCATTTCTCTTGCAAATACATGAAAGAAAACTGCTTACTTTTAACAAAAGAATGTGGTCCTTTTGTTGACAATCCAGTTATCAAGCTGTAAAATTGGGAAAACGCGAGTATCAAAAAACACAACATCCTTCTTCTGAGGAGAAGGGCATTCAATTGACGAGTTTACACATTTCTTGCGTGCGTCTAAACATTTGATACACTTACATGATGTTTACTGTCATTCAAATACACAATCATTTTGATACATAAGATTTAACTTAAAGTTTTTAATATGTGACAGCCTTTGATTCTTTACTGGCATTGCTTTTTGTTTAAATCTATAATATTATTTTATATGACACAGGAACCCTATAAATTTTTTCAGCACTTTCAAAGAGTAATATCAATTTTCAAAGGGATTTCGATAAGTTTTTAAGACTTGTTGTATAAATATTTATTAGTTTTTCAACTTACAGTTCAATATGATTGATAGTTTTAAGGTGAGACATGGAGTATATTTATAGAATTTTCTTTAAAGGCAGATATTTTTCAAAGGGTGGTGAATTCCAGGTGAGGGAGGGGCTTATTTTGTAGGGAGGTGAACATTACCGCTACACTTTTTTCAAAATTTCAACCGATCATTACCGCTACATTTTTGGTCGAAAACAACTCATAACCACTGAGTATCTAATCAGCCAGATATGATGTGGAATAGGAGTTCCAATCACAAAATTTTCACAAAGAATTCAGCACGATGTTTTACAGTTTACATGAAGTAGGCGGACTTACAATACAGCAGTATGTTTAGCAAATGACAGTCAAAGCTTTAAAAAAGGTTCTGTGTCTTTCAAACAGAGAGGTTACAGAATTATTACAACCTTTATGAAAAGAATTTTGCAATAGCGTTTCATTACAAAATAATTAGATTGAATTTTACCAATCGCAAAAGATTTTTTAAAGACGCATTTCCATGTGAAAACTCAGCCATCAAATGTAAATCGGAATTCTTTGAGTGTACACGTTGCAAGTAATAAAGTAATGGACATTCATTGCAAAAATATTTTCTTCAAAGATGAAAATCTTCGGTTGCCGAGAATCCCTACGTATAATGTTCAAGTTGTACAGTTTATAAACGCTGACAGATAAGTCGGATCATAACAATGTCGGACTATAACAAACTCGGACCAAACCAAAGTCGGACTATAACAAACTCGGACTACCGTGTATATATTTATCAAAAAACGGATCGCTGTATTAATTGTGAAATTAATTATGTTCCCCAAACGAAGTTGGGGAACATATTGTTTTCACTCTGTTTCTTATTATTAAGGTCTTCCGTTTCCAACGGAAGACCTTCTACTGATTCTGTTGTTTCTTTTCCACTATTATTATTGAGTCTTCCGTTCACAACGGAAGACTTATAGTGATTGTATTGTTTCTCTTTATTATTATTATTATTCCTCCCAAATTTTGTGAGCGCGATTTATCAGAGATGGTTGGACAGATTTTCACAATTTTTCATATGTTAGTAGGCTGATATATGAAGTTTATATAAAATTCCGTTTTGGTCCGAAGTTATGGCCGATTTTCTAAATTTAAAATGAATTTTTGTCCGGAATTTTTCTCAAGAACGGGTTGAGGTAGCTGCAGAACTGTAGCGTTATGGTTTTATATATTTGTCTTTGACCATAACGCTACAGATCCCGTAATGCAAAAAAGGTGCAATTTACGGCACAATATTTTTTGCGCGCTTACCTATGTAAGCTTATTTTTGTCAGTCAATAAAAATCATAGTACCGCAAGTAATTTTACATATTTGATTTTATGTTCGTTTAAAACATAATTACGAAGACTGATTGATTGATTGATTGTTTGTTGTTTAACATCCCTTTCAAGAATTTTTCACTCATATGGAGACGCCACCACTTGCCGGTGGAGGGCTACAAATTGTGTCCTTTGCTCGGCACTTAGGGCCTTTGAGCAGTGAGGGGTCTTTTTCGTGCCAGCACCTACTGCGACACAGTCATGTAGTATCTAGGAATGCCCGAACCGTACAAACAGCTATTGATGAGATACGGGACATGACAGGCAAAACCTATTACGCTACAAGGAGAAAGACAATAGCGGCAGGGTCCCTCTGGTAACCACATACCATCCCGTCCTTAAGAACCTTAGCGGTATCCTTCAAAAGAACCTACCAATTCTCCATTCAAACAAACGAATGGTAGAGGTCTTTAAGGAACCCCAATTGGCTGCATACAGACGCCCATTGAACCTAAAGGACATTGTAGTAAGAACCAGACTGGACAACCCATTACCTAACGGGGGCTTTAAAACTTGCTCTGACAGAAGATGTCTTCTTTGTAAGCACAGCACTGACACAGAAAGTTTTAACAGCCCTGTTACAGGCTGCAGCTACAAAATACTAGGGAATGTGTCATGTCATACTGACAACTGCATTTATCTCATCAGTTGCAAAGTTTGCTCCAAACAGTATATTGGTGAAACAGGAGATCTCTGCAGGAGAGTCAATAACCACCGTTCGACCATTAGGACCAAAAAACTCAATGAACCCGTAGGGGAACATTTCAACCTTGATGGTCACAAATGGGAGGACATGACAGTAGTGGTGATTGACCATAACCCAAGATGGACAAACGCTCAGAGAAAAAGCAAAGAAAAGTGCTGGATGCACAGATTGAAGTCATCCCGCCCTAATGGTATTAACAAACTGAATGACTTCACCAGAATGAACGTAAACTAGACCCTATTCCTGAAGATACTAAACAAGATTATTCTCTCAATTTAGTGTTAACTCTACAGTTAATTTGCGTCACCAACTCTCGAACAACCCACATAACTATGAATTATTTCAGATTCCCTATAAATCAAACTAACAATATGGATGTTATTTTGCTTGTTTAATGTGGCGCTTCTGGCCGCGGTGATCATTTTGCTGGGGCTACCACAGGGCTGCCCCACAATCAACAATCAATACAATAAATGTGACGACCCAAATCGGGCGGATCATGCACTGGGTAGGTCACAAGTTCATGAACGTCACCAATGCAATAATCAATCAAATTCAATCAATCAATTATTAATCAATAGTCAATCAATCAATTCAATTATCAATCAAGTCAATTACTTGTCAATCAATCAATTATTAATCAATCAATCAATTTAAATATCAATCAAGCCAATAAACAATGGAATGAGCATAAGAATATGTGTTGCACTCGTCCAATTGCGTTGAGGTGCGACGGAATACGCAAACACTAGGAATTTTAACCGCAACAAGGCTGAAGTGGACGCTATCTCAAACAGGAAGTCTTCACGGTATAGGTAAAACAGAGACTTCATCACCGCGACATTGGTTGATGCGGACGCAATCCCCAAACAGGCAGTCATCAAGATATAGGTAAAATAGAGACATCATCACCGCTACATTGGTTGATGCGGATGCTGTACCCAACAGCCAGTCTTTGCAGAACACACAATCATACAGAATCACTAATGCAACACAGTTGATGAAAACGCTGGACCAGGCAGGGCACCATTAGGGAATATTGGAGCACACGATTATCACTGCGACATAGGCTGTTGTTGACACAGGACCAAGCAGGAAGTCTTCAGCTACAATGACATCACAAGAACAGCAGTATTTGTTCTGATTGGGTGGGGGAAATTAAAACAATGCAACAATTCAACTTCACAAAATTTTCCATGACCTTACCGTTTTATCGATTTATCGAGAAAGGAAGAGGAGGAAACAACTAAATATTAGACTAGTATATGTATACGGACCTAAATTATCCGGATTGATAGGTTGAGACTAAGGGTTAATATAATTATATATCTGAAAGGATTAAAGATATCCGGAATGGAGGGACATAGGGTTACTGAAATAAACTCACTTATCCGAGACCATGCTCGTATAAGTGGTATTATTTCAGATTCCCTATAAAAGTATAAATCAAACAAACAATATGGATGTTATTTTGCTTGTTTAATGTGGTGCTTCTGGCCGCGGTGATCAGTTTGCTGGGGCTACCACAGGGCTGCCCCACAATCAACAATCAATACAATAAATGTGACGACCCAAATCGGGCGGATCATGCACTGGGTAGGTCACAAGTGCATGAACGTCACCAATGTTATAATCAATCAAATTCAATCAATCAATTATTAATTAATAGTCAATCAATCAATTCAATTATCAATCAAGTCAATTACTTGTCAATCAATCAATTATTAATCAATTAATCAATTCAAATATCAATCAAGTCAATAAACAATGGAATGAGCATAAGAATATGTGTTGCACTCGTCCAATCGCGTTGAGATGCGAAGGAATACGCCACTTGCAAGGGCCATGAATACTCTTGTCTTCTACGAGTAATCATGGAACTGCAACCGCCACCAATGGGGAACCAAGAACCA